ATGAAGATAATCACAGGAAAAATCTAATGCAATGTCATATTTTCAGTTTTTCTACAAATTTATTTCAATTTCATGCTAAATTTTGATGGAAACTTGGCTTTAAAACAAGCTTCTTTCTTTCAAAATGACTATTTGGTTCCATGTCAATAGTAGGCAGCTCTTCTCAGTGGAAAACAATTACTGACACCCCACCAACGCAGTACTCTTGCCTAATCTAGGATGGGTTCCATGCATTTCCACCAGCAAAAAGACTGGTGTTGGTCAAAAAAGCTAGCAAAGCACCATAACTTTGTAATGCATAGTTGGATCGAGAGTTTAGTGTTAAGGGTTACTGCAAAAAACAAAACAACAAATAAATAAAAAGATTAGCCAGTGATTAACAGATGCAGGGGCGGCACTGTGGTGTAAAAAGGTCCTGAATTCAAGTCTGCATCTGCATCTGCATATTCTACATGCCCATGCTCTCCCACGGTCCAAAGACCTACTTGTCAGATTGAGTAGTAATTTAAATTGGCCATAGTTGTGAATATGGGAATGAATGATTGTCTGTCTCTGTGTGAAGCCTGCAATAGACTGGTAATCTCTCTAGGGTGTACATCTCTTTTTGCCCAGTGACAGCAGGGATAGCATTCAGCAGCACTGAATAAGCAGAACATGATGGATGGATGCACAGATGGATGGCATGTTCCCCCGATTTTTGTTACAGCAGAAATTACCTCAAGTTCTTCTAGTTACTCCACATCAGTTGTCAAAGGTCTGCCCAGGCAAACAGAAAATAATCAAGTAAATACATTCTCTCTTAAGTTGGGCATTTTAACATGTGATACCACGGAAATTGAAGCAACATCATTTGGAAGAACTTCTGTGGTGTTTTTTGGCACTTACACAGTGGCTTTATTTTTCATGCCTTGAAGCTTCTGCTCAGTTAAAATTTAAGAACAAGAAAGTTGCAGCTGGAAAACTTTTATCTTACCTCCAGCACAAAGCACAAAGCCAAAAATCAGAAACTCCCCAGAACCCAGCGTGTGGTGCCAGATGCAGTTTCTAACACAGAGTACCTATCAAAATGTGACACTTTCAAATAGGTAGGGTAGCCTTATCACACCTTTTATTGTTAGACACACACAGATCCAGTTTTCTGGTAATAACATTACTTCAAATTTGACCAGCTTTCTGAAATCAGAGTCTTTGGAGACGTGATGAATTTGCATCTCTGAATGAAGCTCGCCGCCTAACCGGGTGGATTTTTTTTTTTAATGAAAAACATAATCCGTTCATCTTTTCAAAGTCCGAATCAAAAGGTTGTGTTTTCAAAGCTCAATTGATTTATAGTGCTGAGAGAGAGGTTACACCATTATCTAGAGTTTAAATAGAGTCGTTGATGCTGACATGTCATCACGGACGGCGATGAAAGTGCAGCAGCAAGTGAATGTGCTCCCGTGTGACACTACTCAAACTTTGATTTTTTTCACAACCGGGGGTCATGTGGAGTGTTTTCAGTGTAGAGTACCTGTGTGTCCCACTTCTCAGCACATACGTACACAAACTCATTGCACCACTGTTATATGACTGTGCTGTAGAGCTGCTTATACACTGAAGTAACCACTCAAGATATTATCTCCTTATATGAGCCATTTGATGCGATCCTGTCAGCCTTAATGGTCAGAGGCTCCAAAATTTCAGTACATGATCAAACAGCGAGTGCTGTGCATGGCAATGCTCTGTTCAGCTGTGTTCTGCAGCTTGATTTGTGTGTGTGGGAGTCTGTGTGGGTGCCTCTGCTTCCCTGTTTGCATCTCTGTACACATGTGCACATTATTTGTTCTTTTCTAAAGTCTCTGCACTGCGTTTATGTATGCGCACGGACGCATTACTGCACCTGTGCGTGTGTTTGTATGCGTGTGTGTGTGTGTCACCCTGGGGTGTGTCTGTGTCTCTGGTGGATGTGGGTGAGTTTGATTTAGCATTATTTGGAGGATCAGCCAAGGCTCACAGCCAGCCCAGCTGCCTCAGAGAAACAGAGGGCATCTGTTCGGCCTCCACACCAGTCGCTCTGTTCTTAAACGCCTCTCGAAGCAGAATCCGCGCATGAACTTCTAACTAAGGTTAAAAGGATAGTCACTGTGATTCTCAATGTCTTTCAGCTAAAATAAAACAAAACAGCAATGTATCTAGTAGTTTCTGTTTTATGGTCAAGCTTCGGTGAAGCACTTTGTGATTTTATCTTGAAAGGTGCTATATAAATAAGATTTTACTTACTTACTTTACTTAGTAGTACTTTGGTTTATACCAGGGATCG